GTGCTGGGGGGCTGCGGGAAGGACCCGATGCTGCGATGCACAAGCGCTCAGAGCTTTGCCTTCCAAAAAAGCCCACCTTTTTGGTGCTGTAAACCCAGCCGATCTCTGCTTCACACAAGAGCCCTCTCCTTCGTTTTAGCCTGATTTTGGGTTTATTTTCCCCGGCTCAGCCCAAGGCTGCGGCTTGCCCGAAGCCTTCCTCCCCAGGGACTCCTCTCCTGGGCTGTGGAATACTGTAGCTTCATCGCTAGAGGGTAGGAAAGAGCCTCAAATCACGCCTTGCATTGGCCTATTTTTGGACAAAAACCCTCCTTTGCTCTGAGACAACCTGCGGCGAGCAGCACCCAGGCCAGCCTGGAGCCGGTAAAGCCACTTAAATTGCATTTTCGGGTGCCACGCATCCCCTTCCCACCTTACAGCAACCGTGCGAGCCAATTAATGAAGTGGAAGTGGTTTTAATTGAATCTCAATTGCATACGGGCGCCTTGGAGGGAGCAAGCCGCTGGCAGGGCTGCGGGGCTGCGGGGTGGGGTTTTTCATCTCATCCCCGTCTTTTGGAAAGGAAAAAGCTTTCCTGAAATAACTCGTTTTTGCGTGAAAAGCCAGGATTTGCTGAAAGGCGGCTCGGTTGCAAACCCCTGCTGACGGGAGCAGAGGTCCGAGCGCCCAAAGGGCTCTTTTATCCCTTGGATCTTACGGTTTTATTTTAAAAAAAATCACATTAGAAATAAGGAAAGGAGAGCAATTAGCTGTGGAAGCTGGTGGTGAATTCATCCAAATCCAGGTTGGAAGCTGTTCACAGAGCCACTCCAGATCGGCCCCGGATGAATCGGCTCTGGAGAGTCGCTTCAAGAGCAAATAAACTTAAAAAAAAATAAATAAAAGGGAATTTAATTTTGGCTTTTCCAACGTGCCCGAGTGCAGGTGGCCGTTTTTTTTTTTTTTGCTGCTAAAAAGCTGTTTGCACAGGGGGGAAAGGGACTTTTGGGGGGTGAAGCTGGGGGTGCGGGTTCCCCCCATCCTTCTGGTGATGGCATTAAGGTGCTCAGAGGCACCCTGGGTGACACTGGGGACACGAGGAGTTTGCAGCCGACCCCAGCAGCCGTTTAGGGTGGTTTCAGCTCCATCAAAAGATGATTTTTTTTCCTTGTTGCTGAGCCCCCCCCTCATCCCGGTCTCCTCGCTACAGGGGGGCTGTGGGAGCTGGCGGAACAGCCCACCCGCCCGGCCGTGGGCAACGGCCCCGTGCGAGCCC